CAGATTGGATGTCCACTGGTGTTGGTTTCCCATGTATTGTATTGCCTGTTTATTGCCATTTTAAATGAGTTACTGTAAATGCTATTTATCATGAACTGCAGGGTTTAAAAAGCACCAAGAAAAACCTTCTTGAACTGTAGTAGATTTACTTAGTAATTTAGGCACCCTGTTGAGACAATTACATGAATAACAGCTCTGTATTTAGTATTTTTTAACAATCAGTGCAATTCAAGTCCGTTCCCACCTGTAAACACACTTGTCAAGTCGCAGAAGTAGAAGAGGTTGTGAATTGTGATTAATTCCTTTAATGTGTTGTGTTGTGTCTTCGTTGTATCTTTACATTAGTGTTTTTGCAGTCGTCTGTTCCCGTGTTCTCTCTCAGTCATCGTGGTGCTGCTGGCTCATTGTAATGTGATCTTGCTGACTGTTACCTCCCTTTACCTCCACTTTCTCCATACTTTTCTCATTCCTGCTCAAACTGAAGGATTGCGCCTTTCTCATCTCGATACAAACAAACCTTAAGCCTTATTAGGGTAATTCTGTTATACATATATATATATATATTAGATTTTTTTCTTTCTTTTTTTTATATTTCCCAAATGATGTTTAAGAGAGCAAGAAAATTTACACCGTATGTCTAATAATACTTTTTCTTATGGAGAAAGTCTTATTTGTTTTATTTCAGCCAGAATAAAAGCAGTTTTTATTATCTTTTTTTAAACACCATGTATATATATATATATATATATATATATATATATATATATATATATATATTAGTGCTGTCAATTGATTGAAAAAATAAATTAATCACACTTTTTTAAATTAATCGTGATTAATCACATTTAAAAGACTGAAACTTGTCATTTTGGCTATTCGAATGTTAAATTAATGTAAACGCAAGACAAAAACTATTTAAATTCATAATATAATTGTTATTAGAGTTTTTTTTTTAACTGTTAACTCAGATTTCTTCATGTAAACAACATACCCACAATAAACAATCAAGCTCCTGGCTTGACAGCCATATTTATTGCAGAAATTAAAATAGAGGCATGTTAGTGCCATTCAAATTTCAAAAAAACAATCAATGCCAATAAAGAAAAAAAATTTTCCATGTTGGATTCCAAGTGGACTGCTAAAAAAATTAAAATTATGCCAAAATACAGGCATTTTTGATATGAAAAATGGAAAATGATTATAAAGTATTGAATACAAACAATTGTACTCATTGTAAAGTTGTATTGCTGTAAGTTGGGAACATTAATTATGAAGTAGAAACGATTTTACTCAGTCCTCCTTTACGTTCAGTCAGTTGCTAAGACAGTCCAGTTTGTTGACATTATCGGGGGACAATGTGGACCTTTTCTTTTGAATGATGTGAGCTGAGAGTGCAACGCAATCTCTAGGCAATTCGTAACTTTTTGATTAAGTGGCTATAGACAACGACGTTCAGGCAGGTTTGTTGCTAAGAAACACACGCACACACATATACTGTACACGCAAAACGCGTGCAGGACAGGGCAGCCGGAGCAACTCCCTTCCGATTCAACACGCATGATCGCGTTCATCAAATTTGATTAAACTAAGCGTTCTAAAGCATTACTGTATTTCACAGGAATTCTGACAAATCAACGCGAAGCAAATCTTGTAACTATGTTTTTATAGTGCAGTAATCTCTTATATGGTGAAAATTTGATCAGTTTATTTTATTTATAGGTTGTTTATACATTTATAAGTATTAAAATCCTCATTTATTATTATTATTTTTACATTTATAAGTATTAAAATAATTTGTTTTAGAAAACGTTACATACAGAAAGTGTATTTTTTTTATTTTTTATTTAATGTGTATTCATATAGTTCCATTTATTGTGTATGGCCATACACCCAAAGCACTTTACAATCATAAGAGGGGATTCTCAACACCACCAGCACTGTGCAGCGTCCATTTGGATAATGCGATGGCAGCCACAGGACAATGGCGCCAGTGTGCTCACCACACACCAGCTATACAGTAGGTGGAGTAAAGAGAAAGTGATAGAGCCAATTCGGGGGATTGGGATGATTGGGCCATGATGGGTAATGGTGGAGGGAATTTAGCCAGGACACCGGACACCAAACAGGCGGCAAAACAACATGCACAAGAAAACAAGGCAAAGGTCAAAAGCATGGCAAGAGTAGACAGGGGAACGCTTAGAAATGTTACAGTAAACAGAAACAAGACTCAGCAATGAGTGTGTGTGTGTGTGTGTGTGTGAGGTGAATATATAGTCCATGTAATCAGTCTATAATTCGTTTCCAGCTGTGTGTGTGCAATCAGGGAGAAAACTGGAACTGATGTGTGTGTAGGGTGCATGATGGGATTTAAAGTCCAGTCCTGTGACAGATTTGTAGTTCTCCAGCGATCTACCCAGGCTAGATCGCTGGTGATTGTGACAATGGGTAGGTTTGGTTGCACATTTTAGATGATAGATGATAAAGTGTCCACATTTTTTTTTTTTGTGAATTTGAAATTCGTTACTTAGGTTACGTTTTGTTGTACGTTTCTGATACACGTCCCTTATACATGTTCACAAGAAGGCGGGGCTTACTGATCATCAGTGAACCACTGACCCAAACCCAACCAATAATGTTTTCAAAACCAAATGTAAGACAAAAGTGCACAGCGATTGCATAGCTTTACCTTGATTTTACATTGCTTTAATCTCTTTCGTGGTAGCGTGTTTTTACTGGACTCGAATCTGAGTGCTCTTAATTACAAGCACAACACATTACAATATGAGCTACTGAGTCAACTGATCACGCTAGAAAAGTTTGGATGGAGATAGATAGGAGAGACAAATGTATATACAATTAAAAATTAAGATTAAGTCATTAAAAACACTGTTGTTTTGTGGAAGTTATTTGGTGTTGTGTGATGAACTGCACTAATATAATCATTGATTCCTCAATAATACTTGCCTGTAAATATTATTAGTGTGAAAAGGAACATAAGTTGTTGTCGTCATACTGCCTCCTAGTGTTCATTCTACTTATAACCTGCACTCAAACGTATGTTTAAGTATGTTTAAGTCTGCTGTTTCACAAAAACTAAAGCATGTGTTTCCAATGAGTCTGTGTTGGGGAATAAAGTAACTCTTAATTATGAGGCAGAAGATGTTATTGTGATTTTATTTTATTTTTTTTCCATCAGTGGCACGAATCCTTCATATTCACTCTTTCAAACAGCGTTCAGCGTCTTGAAGGTTTATATTACTTGAGCTGTAGTTGTTATAAATGCTGCAATGTCTCAATCCAGCTGGTGTTCACCTTTCCATGAGCTTTGATTGTAGGAAATCTTCTGATCTTTAATTTATCTCCTACTGCAGACGGGAGAGACTTGAGCTTGAAAGAGATGAGAAGCAGATGAATCAGTTTACCCTGCAAAACTTTCTTCTGGGTCATGTAGCATATCCAGCCCCAAAAAAATCATCTTCCTTTTTTGTTGTTGCTTTTGTAGAAATTAGGTTCTGCTTCTTTTTAATGTGCATATGAAACCTATAATGCAAATCCGCAGAATATAGGTTGATGTACACGTTAAAGTCTGAATTATTAGCCCCCCCATTTTACTAGATATTTTTAAGCTTAAAGAGACATTTAAAGGCTTAACTGGGTTAATTAGGCAAGTCATTGTACAGTATAATGATGGTTTGTTCTGTAGAGCGTTTGCGGCATCTTAAAGGGTCATGACACCCCTCACTCTCGGTTCAAGTCTACCTCAGAATTAAAAAAAAAAATGCATCATAGTGTGCGTGGAGCTCCACGATCAGAGGCAACAGTGGGTGTGGCCTGCAGGGTAGAAGGAGGGGAGCGAACAACTGTTGTCAGTTAGCTCACAAAATGAGACACAAACCGTGAGGAGACGCATGAGTTTAAAGTTTACAAAGTTAAAATGCAAACAGTAATTGAATGCCCTGCTACATTTGTTATTCGTAATTTCATACCGGAACCACAATTTATATCATTGTAAAGAGAATCGTGTTTATATAAACACTAAATGAGTACTTATCTCTCAATCCCCGGGTCTGAATGCAGACTCAGTGCAGCAGGTCTCTTCCCCTTTCTATTTTAACCATTAGCCCTGCTGCTTGAAACACAAAGTCACAAAACCCACGACCACTTCATAGATGAAACTTGTTTATTCTGAAAAGATGTATATATATATATATATATATATATATATGTATGTATGTATATATATATCCGGGTACTTCTCATACTACTCGGCTCGCATACTGATTTTAGCGTACTATATAGTATGGAAGCATGCGGTTTCGGATGCAGCCACTCTCTAGAAAGCCAGAAGTGTTCCGCTAAAGTTGCTCCCCCCTCAAACATCACCCCAAAATTAGTTCCACTATCCAAACACCACTGATTAACCATAAACAATAAGAACAAAATTGCGAAGTTCATAACCATTATAACATAACATATGATACTTCAGTTTGACAAAAAGATTACTAGTAATGGTAAACAGCAAATAAAAATAAAACAAATTGCTTTTAGTTTCTACTTCCATGAATTAAAATAAAAATAAATAAATAAAACGAGTCAAAATGAAAGTATTTTTCACACTGTTACACTGGTAATCTGGGGGATTCTTGTACTGCTCTCCCAACAAAAATGCTTGCAGCACCTACACAGCTTTGCTGTATCGGCCCTGACAGCATCGCGGGGAAAAACATGCAACAAACCCTGTGGATCATCGAAACAAACACATACGACCCTATAAGAACGGCTAAATACTGTGTGCTGTGGGTCCGTAAACGGGTTCTCACCCAGTCATCAAGGTAGGATCTCACAGCTTGGCACTGGCAGGTCTGCCTTGCCTTCGGAAAGCACATGCAGTCATGAATAATTCAGGGGGCTAATAATTCTGACTTCAACTGTATATATATATATATATAAAAAATTGTGCTAATAATTGTGACTTCACCTCTGTTTTCTTTGTGTTGTAGAAATATCGGTATCAGGATGAAGAGACTCCGCCCCTGGAGCACAGCCCCGCCCACCTGGCTCACAGCAAGAGCGCAGAGATGCTGCACACCAGCGATAAGAACCTGGCGGCCATGGACTCCATGCACAGTTACGCTCCTCACACGCACATCTCACCAATAAAGGTATGTGTAGTTATATAAACACACTCTATAGCGAAGATTGGGCTGTCAATATTGTTGCCGTTTCTCAGAGAAAAGACCCTGAAATCAAAAACTCAACTCGACTCGACTATTTCTATAGCACTTTCACAAACCACAATGATTACCAAAGTGCTGTACATAAAACACATCAAATGCATGCAAATGTACACAAAACCAAAACACATAAACTCATATCACATGACTAAAAGCGTAAGAAAATAAGTGTTTTCAGTGACCTCTGAAAAGACTCAAAAGTTTGAGCTGTTCTTAAAGTGAGTGGAAGATCGCTCCAAAGTCTTGGAGCTGCTACTGAGAAAGCTCTATCACCTCAACATTTTAATCTAGGAACTTGCAAATAGAGACGATCCATAGAGCGAAGAGATCTCATGGGTTGGTGCATAATAATTAGCACAGAAATATACTCAGGGGCCAGGCCATGGAGGGATTTATAAACATACAACAGAACTTAGAACTGAATTCTAAACTGGATTGGCAGCCAGTGTAGAGAAACAAGTACAGGTGTAATGTGTTTTGGGTTTTTTTGTGCCTGTTAAGAGCCTGGCAGCTGCGTTCTGGACAACCCAGGCTCATTGTGGAAACATAGTCCCGCGGACGTTTCTGGAGACCGCGGAATACGTCCCGGCGGGTACGTACGGCTGCAGTTGTTTTTGTGAATATGCGAGAGGCCGCTGTTGTGTGCTTTTTCGCACCTCGGACGCCTCTCGTGAGTGCGGTTCGCGCCCGCGCTGTTCTTGCGTGAACCCGACAGAGGCCGCTGTCCGACTGACCGGATGATTGACTGCGCGACCAACCAATCGGCCGACCCGCCCTCCTCCTTCCCTGAACCCAACCAATTTTACCGATCGACCCGCCTCTCCGCTCGCTTCCCTAAACCCGAGCAACAGTTTACAAAAGCCGTCCAAAAAAATAAAAGCCCTTATTTAATTTTATTTTTTCTACCACGTTTTCAGATTTCACAGCGTTCTCACCCTGTTACGAAACTCGTTCACTTAATTTTTGGGATTCTGTTTTTGTCTTACCTGATTGCTGGAACGCTCATCCCCGGACTCAAAACCGGTCACCGTGGTCGACTGCTCTCTGCATCTCTAACCTGCCGACGTACACGGTGAGCTGAGTGGACAAACGAGTTGCAGCGGGGAAGCCCTCCACAAGGAGGTAAGGCAAGCGCGAAACAGCGTCACACCGCCCCGCAGCGTTCGCTTGAAAAAAATAAACGCAGCCGTACGTACCCCCCGGGACATATTCCTCTGTCTCCAGAAACGTCCGCGGGACTACGTTTTCAGAATGAGCTTGGGTTGGTTCTGGACTAGCTGCGGTCGCGTGAGAAAGGCCTGACTCACACCCAGATACAATGCGTTGCAATAGTCCAGACGAGAAGAGATGAAAGCATGAACAACCTTCTCCAAATCACTGAAAGAGAGGACTGACTTCAGCTTGGCAATATATCTAAAATAGAAAAAACTATTTTTGACAACCGCATTAATTTGCAGATCAAATTTTAGCTCAGAGTCAAAGATGACACCAAGGCTGCTCCGTCTTCTTCCCTTGTCTTTGGCTAGGCAGAATCTCAGTTTTTAGCACTACATAGTGTTGAATCTGGTAATCATGGAGCATTATTTCTTGCACATGACCACACAGATCAACATTGATGGCATCCAAAGACTTGTAGACCTTTAACTTCTCTCTTGTTAAATCACTTGGAGCTTCAATGAGATTGTATATTTGGGGTTGGACGCTTGGTCATTTAATCATATCTATTATCCATTGGGAGAGTGCATTCGCAAATAGACCTGTCAGACTAACGCTGCTCACTTTAACGTTAATTTTGCTGAATCACTGTGCTTATTACTGGGTGACGAGCTGTTATAATACGCTGAAAGCATTATGTAAATAATATATATATATATATATAATATGTAATCAATATAACTTATTTCTAAGACAACAACAAACTCCGCACTGGATGTCATTCCCTTGCTGTAAATGCTAGCGCTCCCGTTTTTTTTTCCTGCAATCTTCCTGAGCACACATCCTGAATGTTTACAAACATGGTAATTCGTCTATTCACCTAATTCTTCGCCGACGAGCGGGCGCAGCCATTTGAATCTTTTTGGCTCGAGACTTCCGGTCTCATTCATTCATTTTCTTGTCAGCTTAGTCCCTTTATTAATCCGGGGTCGCCACAGCGCATGTCTTTGGACTGTGGGGGAAACCGGAGCACCCGGAGGAAACCCACGCGAAGGCAGGGAGAACATGCAAACTCCACACAGAAACGCCAACTGAGCCGAGGTTGGAACCAGCGACCTTCTTGCTGTGATGCGACAGCGCTATCTACTGCGCCACTGCCTCGCCCCGGTCTCATCCACTTCCATTAATTTTTAGACGTTACAAACTGCTCGTTACGCTGCTTGATGTTGCAAACTGACATTTCCATATTATATTATTCTACTTGGTCTCTATAGTCATGCAAACATTTGTTTGTAGAGTTTGACCGTTTTCTGTCGTTTATTATTCCTAGTAATTTCCCCCATAGGCGACTGAATCGGAAGTTTTAAAACAATCGCGAAAATAGGCGCCCTTCCGCATTTTAGAATCAGGTCAATACGTCAGCGTACTTGAGACGCAGAGGGGATGGAGATTGAGTCCGGCGAAACAGTTCCAGAAAGTGGGTAAAATAAAAACAGAAGCCAAAAAATAACAGGGTGAGAATTTGGTATAAGTAAGCGTAAATAAACGTAATACAAGCATAAAATAAGCGTAATCTAGAGGCCTTTGCCTTTCATATTAGCCACTTCTGATACCGAATGATCAGCTAGAAGTCAAGTTAATATCTGTTGTTTCTTAAACTTAGATAGACGACAAGACTTTTGTCAGGTAGTGCATATAAGATTTATTTTTAATTCATTTTTTTTTTACTGTTGTTTATTTATTTTTTTTATTTATTTTTAATACAGCTGTGTACATATACATCATATAATAACCAAGTTTTTTCTTTTTTTAATAAATGTAATTTTTATTTATTGACAAATTAATTTTAACAACTGTATTTCTATAAGCTGGGTGATGCAGTGGGTAGCACGATCGCCTCACAGCAAAGAAGGTCACTAGTTCAAACCTCATCTGAGTCAGTTGGCAATTCAGTGTGGAGTTTGCATGTTCTCCATGTGTTCTTGTGGGTTTCCTCCGGGTGCTCCGGTTTCCCCCACAGTCCAAAGACATGCGCTATAAGTGAATTGGGTAGCTACAAATTGTCCGTAGTGTATGTGTGTGAATGAGTGTGTATGGATGCTTCCCAGAGATGGGTTGCAGCTGGAAGGGCATCCGTTGCATAAAACAAATGCTGGATAAGTTGGCAGTTCATTCTGCTGGGGCAACCCCAGAATAATAAAGGAACTTAGCTGAAAAGAAAATAAATGAATGAATGAATTTCTATAAGCAAAAATGCACACACACGCGCGCACACACACGCGCGCACACACACTGTACACTATAATACATGTTCACTACCATTCTCCACTTGATGTCTTGCTGTTGTCTTTGTGAATGTTTACATGTGCTTGGAGTGTTATCCACGTAATCGATCTCTTTTATTATGTGTGTGTGTGTGTATGTGTGTGTGTGTGTATCCACTGCTCTACTGCACTATATTTCTCAGTGCCAGCCCTGTTCTCTTTCTTTCTCCACCTGCCTTACTGTCTCCGTCTGACCTCTGTGTTCACTTCCTGCTGCTTCGCTGGTTTTCTCTGCTTTCAATAGGTGTGTGTGTGTGTGTGTGTATTCTATGTGTGGAGGCTTATGAAACCCTCCCAAATACTCAGATTTTACCGCCTCCACTGACTTTACTCAGACACACTTGTGCATACACACGCACACACAGAGAGACAAACACACAATACTGACACACAAGATACTTTCCATGTTTAGACTGACCTTGTAAATATTTTAACACGCATGAGGAACACTAGCCACCGTTTCTGAATAATCATATCAACATCCACGCCAGATGATGAACGATAATTCATGTGCAGGTATACCATATGCTGTCATTCATGCGTCTTAGCGGTCGGCTAATATGTTTGGTGTAAAAGCACTTTAGCATGATGCTCATTTCCATGCTTGTGTGTGTGTGTGGGTGTGTGTGAAGGGCGTTTGGCTTGACATGAAGGTCAGAAAGCAGGCGACTCCTCCTTTCTCTCTCTCTCTCTCTCTCTCTCTCTCTGTGTGTGTGTGTGTATCTGTGGTACCATCTGTCTGCATGTGAAACGCAACACACAAACATCCACATATTACCAAAGGATGCCTTAACTGTACTGCTTTCATGATATTTACAGTATAAGGATGTTACAAACGAATCAAATTAATCTTAGGTTAATCAGTGTAAGTGTTTGAATGTGAACTATTTATAATCTGTTCAATAAAAACTATACCTTCTGGATTATAATAAATATAATAGAGCTGTAATTGAATTACATTTTGAAATCAGTGTATTTGTAACGCCTGCTCATTTTTAAAAAGAATCGGGCTGTAATTGTACATCTTCACCTTGCTTTTGTACGCTATGTGATTCTGTACGGTGAATGTACACTCAACGGCCACTTTATTAGGTACACCTGTCTAACTGCTTGTTAGTGCACAATCAGCCAATCACATGGCAGCAACTCAATGCATTTAGGCATGTAGACATGGTCAAGACGATCTGCTCCAGTTGAAACCGAGCGTCAGAATGGGGAATAGGGTGATTGAAGTAGTGACTTTGAATGCGGAATGGTTGTTAGTGACAGACGGGCTGGTCTGAGTATTTCAGAAACTGCTGATCTACTGTGATTTTCACGCACAACCATCTCTAGGGTTTACAGAGAATTGTCTGAAAAAGAGGAAAAATCCAGTGAGTGGCAGTTCTGTGGGCGCAAATGCCTTGTTGATGTCAGATGTCAGAGGAGAATGGCCAGACTGGTTCCAGC